TTTTTTTTTTTCTTTCCCTAAGAGGAAGAAGCGACGCGCTGTTTGTGCCGACCGAGCTTGTTCAACCTTGGCAACCGTAACCGAGGCTCCATTATGGGATGCGCATGGTTTGGTTGTTGACTAGGCAAGTGCATCAGCGGTCAACAGCTGTGCGTGCCATGTGGGCAAGCCATAGAAAGCCATTAAACACACACTCGCTTTCACACATCACACAGTTTGCGTATAGCTGCATTAGATACTCTTGCCACTTGATTATGCCACAGCAGTAAAAACTGAAATTACAATTACGCACACTCCCGATTGGCAGGTATAATGGGCGCACACATACTCGCTTCACACACACACACACACACACACACACACACGCACAGAGACACACGGATACTGACACACAGGGATTGTCGGGGGATTCTTCCTGGTGGTAATAATAAAGCACTCGGCGCACACCTGATGGCAGTGTGGGGTCGGGGCTTAGCGTGCCCTCTGCAGCGTAGCAGGGAAATGACGAGCCAATAACTGCAATTAAACATGCAGTATAATGGCTAATCAAATTGACAGCCTCGGCTGTTCACATGCCTCTCTCACAATGGCTTATCACAACAAACTATTATGAGGGAGGGTATTTCAGGCCTGATCCCCTCTTTTCGTTCTCTCTCACCATCTCTCACTTCTTTCCGAGTCTTGCTTTCTTTTGCTCTGTTTTTCTTCTTTTTTTTCTCTCCCCTCCCTCCCTCCCATCGATGTCTTGCTCATCCTCTCCGTCTCTTTCCCCTCTCTCCCTCTGGCAGGCTGTCGTGTGGCTCCATTTAATTGCAGTGGAGATTAACAAAGCAAGCAAATTTGTTTTCTCGCTTTACTGTGTCACACAGAGGAAGGGAGATGTTTTCAGGGAAGTATAGTCATTTGAGCTAGGTGCACCCTCTTAGAATTATGTTTAATGTGCCTGTTTTTCAAACTGGTAAACCACTTTTATTATTCTGTTGTTGATGGGTTTTTTCCCCTCCTGTCATGATCTTGACTCCGTTCTCGGCGGAGTGAATAATGGTGATTAATCACTTATTAATGCAGAAATGGAGCAGTAGTGTTGTTGGTGAGGTGGCTGGATAAGACTAGTAGTGACAGGGATATTCCACACATGCAAGAAAAATATACACGAGGCTCCTCATCCGCCTCCAAACAACACTTTTGCCTTAATCCATATCGGGTGGGGTTTTCTTGATGAAGTAAATCTTTTTGTGTGTGTCTGTGTTCTCTCTGCAGTACTCGGAGAAGGCCCTATACAACCAGCTGTGCTTCTACAGGTTCATCTTTGACTGGGAATACGCAATCACAAAAGTACTAAATACTGACGAAAAAAGTAAGATAACACACACCCAGCATACTTGTTGCAATAAATCGAATTGATTGTTTTTCACGTGGCTTGTAGGTGGTTTTGGTTTGAGCTGCACAGTTAGAGAGCTCTTGTGTAGAAATGTCTGCCTTTACTAGAATATAACTAGTTACATGATGCAGAAACCTTGTTGTGAACAATTTCATGCAGGAACTATTGTCTTTATACTGTTTACATCCACCAGCTGAGGGGGAGTGGCATTAATGTTTACGTCTTGTCACAGTCTTAAAAGTGCTAAACCTTTTATAATGGGTGTACAGATGTTTTAATCTTCAGTGACACAGATGTTGAATGTAGACAGTAGAAAGAAAATGCTCACGATATGATGCTTGGACTTTTGTTTTTTGTGAGTAAGGTAAGTCCACTTCCATTATATTCAAAAGAAGGCTGATCTGTCCCAAACGGGCCAGCTTTTACACCAAAACAATCTACAGTTGATGATTGAACCCCACTACGGGACAAATGAAAGATTAAGGCCAAATTAATACATCAACCAATATTGATTGATGATTGATTTCTTTGTGATAAAGAATAAGTTTTGGGGCGAGTTGTCCTCCAAAGTTTTACTTTGTGTTTGTTTTGAAACTGGCTCTGCTTTTGTAAATTTAGTCATATTTTATTCATTTTTCTTCCTTCTCTGCTATACAGCCACTGAAAGTGAAATCAAGTTAGTAGAGCCACTGCTGAACTTTGAATTTTAATGTCCTAACAAAGCTTCCTCACAAATACATGTACAACATAGCATTAGCAATCAATGTCTTAACATAAACCTTTTACCCAGGCTGCACTTAAAATATTCACCAGTGATGTGACACACACACATGTGCGCTCACACACACACACACACACACACACACACACAAAAGTAGCGGAGCCTGGGCATTGGATATGGGAAGGGGGGTTAAGGACATTCAGCTCCTCGACTCGACAGCCCTAATTTAGGAGTCGGATTCAATCACACACACATACAGAATGCAAAACGCTCCAATCACTAGAAGAAAGAAGGAGAGAGCCCTCCATCGCTCTGCCTCTACCCCTACCCTCACTGTCCATCTCTACTGCTTTCTCTCCCTTGCTCTCTCTGTCTTTTTGCTCTCTCTCTCTCCCCCTCTCTTGGACAGGCACTCGTTTGGCTGTGTTGATTGAAAACAGGTTTTAGATTTGGGGAAATGATAGGGGGAGTAATGGGCGCGCTGACGAAAGGATAGCCCTTCTCATATAATGGGACATGGAGCGTATATTTCCCCCCTTGGACTCAAATAGACGCTACTCCAGTGATCTGGGCGCACTCAGTAGGCGTCAGCCGCAAGGCCTCTTTACCCATAGTTCTCCCTGATTGATGTCACTTGATTAGAAAGGGCCGCTGGGCCGAGTGATTTATTTATTTGATTAAATTTTGTATGTATGTATGTTATTTATGTATGTATGCTTGAATGCTGCGGGTGTGCACACTGGGACCTGAGTAAGGCAGGGAAAGAGTGAGACAGCAGAGTTAAATATAACGTGTAATCAACAGATGACCACTCAGAAGATGGAGGGAGCTAAAATGGAGGGATTGGACCATTGTGGAGGAGTGGGGGGAGACTAACATGATTATAGCCTACATTTTTTTGCTTTTATTTCCGTCTTCGCCCAGATGCAAGAAATCGTCGCCAATCAATCCTCGACTCTTTCTTTATGCTCCTGTGCTTTGCAGTGTTTTTGATCTCTTTGAACTTTCTCGTCCACAGTTTCTCATTTTTGTGTTTCACGGCGCAATACTGTAGAGTATATGCACTATAAGGGTACAGAGTTTACTATACAGTGTTCAGTAAACAGCAAATGGTTGGATGGTTGTGGGTTTGTTTAACATCTGAACTTATGATTCTTGAAAGCTTTTTGATTTGAGATATTTATCTGTTCAGTTAAGTATCAGAGGGGCTGTTAATCTGCTTCAGCTGCTTTGGAGTTTATGACTATGAGACAACTCCTAACACGGCAATGTATTTACAGACCACTGGCACATTTTCCTCCATATTTTCTGGGTGTATATTACTAATGATAATATGAGGAGATACATGGACCTGGCAGAGGTTCCAAAGGTAGTCCACCTCCTCCAGGATGGCACATCAATATGTGGCATTGCCAAAAGGTTTCCTGTGTCTCACAGCACAGTCTCAGCAGCATTTAGATTCCAGACACTTAGTCTAGCAGAGTTAGGCAGGGCAGTAGAAGATCCTTAATCCAACAGCAAACCTGGTATCTGCTCCTTTGCCCAAGGAGGAACAGGAAGAGCACTGCCAGAGCTACAAAATTAACTCCAGCAGGCCACAGGTGTGAATGTCTCTGACCAAATAATCAGAAACAGACTTCATTAGGGTGGCTTAGTGGGCCCTGGGCTCACTGCACTGTACAACCTGATTGGCATTTGCCTTTGAATACCAGCACTGGCAGGTCACCCTCTGGCACCCTGTGCTTTTCACAAATGAGAGCAGGTTCACACTGAGCACATGTGACAGATGTGAAAGGGTCTGGAGAAGTTGTGAAGCCTATAACATTGGTAAGCATGACCAGTTTGGTGGTGGATCAGTGATGGTCTGTGGATGTATATCCTTGTAGGGACACAGACTTCTACAGGCACCCTGACTACCATTAGCTACCAGGATCAAATCGTTGGACCTACTGTCAAGACCCAGGTGCACTGGATCCTGGGTTCCTCCTGGTGCACAATGTCTGGCCTCATGTGGTGATCTATGCAGGCATTTCCTGGATGACAAAGGGATTGATACCACTGACTGGTCCCCAATCTCACCTGACTAAAATCCAATTTAAAAAACAAAAACTGGGACGTTATGTTTCAGCCCATCCAACACCAGCAGGTTGTATCTCAGGCTCAGTGATGCGATGTTCCAATTAAGTGCAGAGATCCACTTAGAGCTAAAACTAAACTAAAACTCTGCTTATTAATTCATCCTGATTATTTGTGCCGATATCAGCTTGTTGTCAATTCTCAGCTGGGAAACTACTGTTAGCTCCCTTTTAGAGCAACACTGAGTAAGGTGTAGTGCACACACTGTTCTCATCTCATGGCCAGAAATTTTATTCCTGCCAATATGACAAGAGCTCATTGTCAGTATAAAAAAAGAAATGTAGCAGACATTACACATCACACTAATAATTGCCGTGTTTCTTCAGGTTAAACATGAGCATGTTGCAGATGTAGAGTACAAAGAGTAGCTACAAGTGTGGAGAGAAGTGGTCCAGTTTCCTCTTGACATGGTAGAAAACGTGCCTCAGTGAAGGGTCACAGATCAGTGGATACACAGATCAGAAGGGTCCTGGAGGGATGTGATGAGCCACCAGACGGTGGTCTTAACTGCAAGTGGAAGTCATGTTAACTTGTTACTCTACTCACTCACCAGACCGCAGCACAGTCCGCTGTTCTTCACCACACTTGGATGGTTTACTTTCATAAATCACATCTCCACTGTTCCATTTTCTCTTTTCATGCTTCTTCCCCTAAAACCTGTTTGAGAGACAGAATGTGTGACTGTACGCTGTCTGTCACACCCAGTGTTGTTCTGCACTGCCCAGCACTCTGCAAAGTTAACACTGACATGACAGATGCAGTGATAGCTGCGATTCTGGGGATTCGCCTATTAATTGTTGGGCAGCTCCTGCATGGTCAAACTTCTCTTGCTGCTCTAATGCCCTGATGCTAGAAACCATCAAGGTGACAGCTCTCAAACAGCTATGTTAGGAATACTGATCTAAATTAAAAAGTGAAAATAACGATGACATTGAGGCCACATTTATCAAAGCTCTGTCAATAATTCAACATGTCATGTTTCAGTCATCACACATACATCACTGTGTTAACAGTGTTTTGCTTTGTGTGTCTGTATCCATTAATCCTGTCTGGAAATACTAACAAACCAAATGTGTCCACTGCAGTTCTGTGCAAAAGTCTTGAGCCACCCTTCATTTCTTTTCATTTACATTCAAGGATCCAGACTTTCTTTTAACCTTTTAAAGTGGTCTTGAGAAAAAGTTCTCCAGGTTTTCTGAAGATCTTTCAAAGTTTTTCTTTGGACACTGGTTGCTTTTTCACTTATTTTCAGTCCAGTCCATTCATCTGACCATTTTCAGTGACACTGGATGCTGGCCTATGAGTCATTCAAGCATAAAAAAGGCACCTATATTTAGAGCGGGGTCATATGACCAAAAATATTTATCATGATATACATTTGAAAATTTGCAATAACGATATAACTAACGATATAATTGACACTAGACAAAATACTTTACAACTCCACAACTTTAATAGTGCAAAAAAAACCCATAAATGTAATTTCACTTAAACAAGCAGCTGTTTTTTATGTGCATTAAAGTTATATAAAAATTTAACAGTGCAAATGCAAATTCCTTGCTGACAGTTTAACCAAAAGGCATTTCCAGTGGAAATTGTCCGACATATCCTCAGCATAACCATCTATAATATCCACAAAACTTAAAAAGAGATTATACACAAACAATACGGTAATATTATGTTGAA